AGCATGCTTCAGCCAGGATGGAATGGAACCCCTTTTCACGGTTCCCGAAGGGCTTCTCTGGGTAGCGGTTTTCAGTCAGGGTTGGAGCAGGCTGGCAGGCACAGTTAGGTGCAGCTAATTCCCAGAGCCCAGGCAGGCTTTGAGGACCTTGTTGAAAAGCACACAGGGAGCATTGTTTGACCAGAGATTTTTATTAACCTGTCCTCGGCCTCTGATTCAGGCCAGCTGGCAAATACTCCTTCTGGTGATTGAGGTCTCAACAAATGTGCTCAGTTTCAACTAGAAAAAAAGCCATCTCCGGACCAAACAGTCAAAACCTCTTCTTTAAGATTCATTTTGAAGCCATTTGGTGGCTAACGCAAAAATTATTTTATCTCTAAACTGTATACCTATGGTAGAAAACAGTGATTTTTTACTTTAGTATTACAGTCTTTTCTTGAAAAGCCTCTCAGGCATAAGCTCCGAGATAATTCATGTATGTAAAACCCCCTAATATTTGGCTTCCAATTGTATTATGTGATTTATCTGAAAGATTTAAAATTTGGAGTTATAGCCCTTTTTACCTTGAGCCCAGCTCTGGTACCAGCTGCTAACAAGCTGCTAACAAGTTAGTTAACCATGCTGAGCCTCAGTGTCCTCACCTGCATAATGGGCATTGTAACAGAGGTTGAAGGCGATAAATGGGGCACCATGTATGGAACACAAATGCCTATTATGGTGCACTGCTGCTCTATAAAAGTTTCTGTGTGTAAAAACAAATACAAGAGAGGCCTGTTTGCTAAACATGAATCCACTTTTAGAAACATGATGTGAATAGTTACTCAGTGCAAGGGGTGGGGCTGCGTGGAGTTCAGTCAGACCCAGAGATGTGAAATTATGGGCCAAGCTGAATGGTGTGGTGGAGGAAGGGAGTGCAGCAGGGCATCCTGAGATTTAAGACTTGGGGATGTTTGTCACCACTCTCACAAAGTGAAGACCTTCTCTATATGGGAAAGGACCAGAGAGAGAGGGAGGGGAATGAGGAAGGATGTAGAAAAAATGATGTGTTACATGGAGACTCCAGCTCCCCGTGAGGAACATAAATCATACTGCAAACATGTACTCATACAAATAAAACTTACAAAGTCAAAACATTTAAAAAGAAAAAGGGGGCAACAAGCTTAGGTGAAACTGTGTCGAAGATGAGAACGCTACAACCGAAGCCATCCATGCGAGGTGCATCCGGGTCTCTTGCTAGCCCTGTGTCCGGGGCAGGTGGCCTCACCTGTCTCCACCTCCGTGTTTGCATTTGTCACATTTCTGGCTGGGTGGAGTGGTGTGACACATTCAACTCCTGGCATAGAGTAAGCTTTCAACAACTGCTCTTTCTATTTGTATAGTAGCACTGGCTGCGTTTGAAATCTTCCTGAGACAGTTTGACAGTACCGGAGGTTTAGGGGAGTCAGCTACTTCCAACAAGGACAACTATTAAGACAGGAGCCCAGCAGATTTAGAGCAGTCAGCAATACGAACTGATCGCAGCAGCCTTTCGGGCCTGGCCTGGCCTGGTGTCCTACTCGTTGGCCTGAGGTAGCGCGCCAGAGGCAGCCTTACACATAGGATGGGAGGGAGGGAGAGCAGGCTGTACCTCCGGAGTCTCCCCCAGCACGCGGCTTCCGCAGGGCTGGGTGGAGCCATCTCCCCACAGTGAGAGGGCCGCAGAAGCCCTTGCCACTGCTTGGGACTGCCTGGGAGGTCCGTATAGCAGGGATGGCGAGGGCCTGTCAGAGCTTCCGCACGCGTGCCACAGATTCACCACCACTGACCTAGAGGCCATAGAGCTCAGGGCGAGGCCCCGCCCAGCACAAGGTTTCATACTCTTCTCAACTTGGTGGCTTTTTCTTGATTTAGCAGAGCCATTTAAAGTGGTGAATTTTTAGCTAACTCTTGCGTGGTATGCCAGCTTTGTTCAGTAGGTCACTCTCTTTCTTGCACCTCCTTGTCAATTCGTGGAGGTGAGGGAGGGATGTGGGGTGTAAATTTGAGCAACTGACCCTCATCGGCTAAAGAAGTCTTACCCCACTTGGTCCAGTTAGCTGATTTAACCCTCTCAACAAGCATGGGGCTGGTCCATGGTCCTGTGGCCAGTAAGCAAGGTGTGTGTGGCAGGGCAGGGGTCCTTTCTAGAGTTCTTTCTCTAACCAAGATGCTGGTTTGCTTCCCTAAGCCTCCATTTGGACTTGCTTTCTAAAAGCTTTTAATGAGGCTTGTGTGATCCCACTGCCAGGATTTCAGAATTATTTGGGCCTTGCAGTTGTCCCACAGACTCCCCTTGTTTTACATGTAGGGAAATTGAGGCACAGAAGGCAGACTCTTGGCAGCTCCCAAGCCTTCTGACTCAAAAGCACCGCCCTCCCCTGACTTCTGTCACACGCAGATTAGAGGAGAGAGTGTCAGTACGAGCCTCAAGTGGCTTATTTCAGTTGAGAGGCAGGGCAGCCAGAGAGAATCACAGCTGCCATGCTAGAACCAGAGCACTGAGGGTTCCATTGCAGGAGGTGGATAATTGTGAGTTTAAAGGCCGGGTATTGTTCTACCCCTTTCCAAGCCTTCTAATTAGTTTTTCTCCTTCCCACAAGGAGTTGATATTGTCACATCTTCCATATGTGAAGCTCATTTTCACCACTTGGTTCTGCAGTGGGCAATATTTCCACAAAGAAATGATTGTGAATGGTACTTTTTTTTTTTTTTTTTTTTAGTACTGAGGATCGAATTCACAAACTCACGCTTACCAGGCAAGTGCTTGAACTGCTGAGCTAAATCCCTGGTCCCTAATGTTACTTTTTTTAGTTTTCAACTTTTAGTGTCAATTTACAGACAAAGCATTAGAACCACTTTGAGAACAAACACGAAAAAAATGTGCCATACTTGCTGGGCGTGGTGACATGCACCTGTAATCCCAGCACTCACAAGGCTGAGGCAGGAGGATCGCCATGAGTTTGGGGCCAGCCTGAACTGCATAGTGAGTGGCTACCTCAAAACAAACAAAAAAAAATCCAAAAAAACCACATGCCAGAGGAAGGATTGCAGAGAGCAAGGGGTGAGGTGGAGGGAGCGGGTGATGGTGGTTTCTTCAGCAAACTGGGAGTAAGGGAGATCACGTGTACTTTTGTGGGGTCAACACAGGGTTTCCAAGGGTAATTATAGAGAGCCCCATGCTGAGGCGGAGGAGCAGAGATGCTGGGGACACAAATCCCAAGTCAGACTACCAGGACTGAAATAGTAGCTCTACCCCTTGAAGTTGGCCAGATTCCTAAATTGTGCCTTGGTTTTCTCCTTTCAAAATGGGACTCACAATAGTTTAATCTGACGGCCATATTCTAAGAATAAAATGAGTTAATATGTATAAAGTGCTTAGAGGAGCAGCAGTGGGAGCAGAAAAGGCCCAAACACTGTTTATAATGCAGCTGCTACTGAAGGAGAACAGAACTCAAAATTAAACTTGCAGTCAGCAGAGACTGGGGAGAGGGGGTAGTCGTTTGAGAAAGTTTGTTTTTTCATCTGGTAAAATGAGAGGTCAGTAAACACTTTGAAGTCGACAAGTAGCAGAGAGGCAGAGTTGTATTTACAGTGGTGGAGGCAATCCAAAGACTTAAAAATAGGTCTAGTCAAGAGTGGTCATCCCTGGGGAATGAAGCTCTGGGAGAAGAGCCTTTCTGTGTGAGGTTTTAATTACCATAAAAAGGTATTGCTTTCGTTTTGCCTGCTTTCTTGAGGCGTAGTTAACAAGCGGTAAACTTCATGTACTTAGGTATACAGCTTGGTGAGTTTTCACATATGTGCATAGTCAGGAAGCCAGCACCACAGTAAAGGCCAGTGTACACCCTCTCTCCTCTCCAGAAAGCAGATCGAAGCTTCTTAATCTAAACAGTTTACACACTTAGGGCCCGCTTTAACTATTCTTGAGATATGACTCATTTAATTCAGAATACCCTTCTGACTTCAAAGAATATTTTCTTCCAGTGATGAAACAACTTTGTATTCATGTGATCTTTACTTCTCTCCTGAGTAAAACCCTAAAGCTAATTAAGAACCAATGGTGATTGTCTTCTTCTATGACGTGTGTTTCATGAAACACTCAGTGGTTAGGTGCTAGGACTGCCGACTTTGCAGTGGGGCACAGAGACGAAGTCCTCTTCAGGCAGCTAAAAGCTGTGTGCTTTCCAGAATTGCCATCCATTTGTGGACTCTTTCCTCTGACCCCAGCTTTCCAAATGTGTATGCTACATGTTCAGTTCGGATTCACAGGCCACAGCACGGGGATAATGTTGTTGAACTCAGTGTCGCAGTTGAATAAAGCAGGTCTTCCCCTTGGCTCGGGGACCAGCCACTGCTTCCTGCCCAGAGCTTCCCTGAGCTGTCCATGTCCATTGGTCCTGGGGTGGGGAGCAGCACCCTGCTTGGAGTTTAATTCTGGCGCCCCAAGTGTGATTGGAAACAGACTTTGATTAAAAATCACCAAAAGCTTTGTGATCACCTCAGTTTTATGGTACTGCTGATAAACACTGTAGCTGAACTGTGCTCTGGGGCCAGTGGGTTTGTGTTTTGTTTTCATGGGTGAGTGTGGAGCGTAACTCCCTTTTTATATCATTGTTTCTCTGTGGAAAAGGCATTCGGTATTGGAAAGAGAAGCATAGAGGGACTTTTCACACAGCCCACTGAGGAGGGCTTCCTGCAGCACCTGACAGAAGGGTTGTGGTTAAGTAACATAGCTTGTCCTATCCTTGGTATGATGCATTTCTCTAAATCACGGGCTTCCCTGAAACTCACAGGGCAGTTGTGTTAGGATTGATTTTATATTGAATGAAACATCGAGAACAAATGTGTTAGGATTGATCTTGTTGGATTTATTTAAAAGATTATGATATTTCTTAGGAAATGGTCTATTGAACTTAATGGCATCTTTCTCAGATCGATAGTAACATATCCGTGATGATGATGTTCTGTATTTTAACTAACAGGTTTTCAGGAGGCCTGATATAAGGGTAAGGATATTTGGTTTTCGGCAGATGGACTTCCTACTTGTGTGTGTCTGTGCTTCATGGAACACTCAGTCTATTTAGCGTTCTTTACCTTCTCACAGATTTTTATGAGTCACTTGGATCAATTTGCCTTGCTGTGTCATAGCTTTGAGTGTTCACTAGAAGTGCTTTATCTGTTATAGTGTTTTCATGTGCAGTGAAAGCCAGTTGTGTGTGAGGGCAGGACGCTAAACTTGTGTGTGCTGCTGGCTTTCCTTGTACACATGATTCCCACCCAGCTGGGTATTCATGGTAGGGGTTATAGGTCTGGGCCTGCAGAGGCCTCTTTTACCCTTACTTACCCTGTGATTCATGCAGAAGGATTTAGCAACCATAAAAACCTGCTCAGTTGTCCATCCTATTTAAGATTTTGAATCATGTTTGTGTTTGCATGCTTAATACAAAAAGCAGAGGTGCTTATTTTGAAAAAAATAGCAAATTCAGCCTGTTAGTATTTTTGGAGATACTGAGATACTAGACTATAGCTTATATTTTCCTCATGATTTTCCTTCCCTTTATTTCAGAATATTCATAAAGCAAGACAGAGATTGGTAATGTGCATGCATTTAACTCAGTATTGGACATGGCAAATTAACCTGTTTTCATTAAATGAAAACAATGTGGGTTTTGACAATATAATGATTTCAGACTTTTTAAACTTACTGAAGCTAGTAAAGTAGTACAGAAATAACCAGGCTCAGTCAAATTCTTGTTTTTTAAACGTAGTTTACCGTTTGCTCTTGTTTCACCACGTTTTCGTTTGCTTGTGAGAATGATTTTCTTTTATTGATTCACATTGTTTGACATTTTACTTGCATGGACTTTGAAATGCTGGGGGTTTTTGTATATTCATTTTTCTTTTTTAAAAATTTTTAATCAATGATTCCATTTTCCTTATATTTAACAATGGAATTTTAAAACTACATTTGAAACTGCACTGCCTTGAAAGGTAGCTATACCCAATTCAATCTGATGATACAGTATAAAAATGTGCCAAATAGTTATTGCACTGACAGAAATAAAAGGCAGGAAACAGTAAGTTTCTTTAAAGTTTTGCTTCTTCATCAGATGCCTGTAAAAGAAATACAGTCACTGGAACCAAAATTTTATGAAGTAAAAATACATGCTAAATTTTCATATTTTCAGCCTCAGATTTGATACAACTTTGCAAAGGTGTTATAATTCAAAAGCATAAATGTTCATATTTATACCATCTGCTGAACTAAAAGTCTAGTTTTTAGAGTTTCCAAAAATAATTGATTCTGTGAAAAAATAAGAATTAAGAAATTAAGTGTATTTTTAAAAGGATTGGTAAAACTTAAAGGATGTGTGACCCTTTAGATCTTTGAAGCACGTCGTCAGTACTGCAGTTAAAATATTTAATATAGTATTTAGCAATAAGCAATAAGAAACATCTGCATATATATGTATATGTGTGTATGTAAAATCTCCAGCATGTGACTTGTGCATGCATGATGAGCAATTAACCTCTGGCAGTATAATAGTTCCTCAGAGTATATGAACACCTACTGGGTTTAAAATACATGTCTCTGAACTGTTTTGTGTTTTGGCTTTGCCCTTTACCTGGCTTCTGTGGCAGGCTTTATTTTCTGTGAGTACATGGTGTGTCTGTTATTTTATTTCTTTGCTTATACTGTAGTATTCCTTGATTTTTAAAAAGACAGTGCAGTGTTTGAAATCCATGTTTGTTTGCTTTTCGTTTTTCTCCCCCAACACGAACATAGACTAGATACTCCATTGTAGAATAAGGATGCTAGAGGTCCCCTACAGGTTATTTCCTTAACTTCGAGGGGGCAAATGTGATTTGCAAAACCGTGAAAGATGTGTCAACTTTTACATGCTTACTGTCTCTATACAAAAGAAATTCTGTCCTTTCACCTGTCTGTTTGCACGTATTTCTTTCTCCCCCCTGCCTTTTCTTGTCCATGCACCTGGTGCTGTGCAGGAGATACAGGAGGAACACAATGGCTACCCTTCTGAAGCTGAAGCCGATCAGGTGGCAAGTTCTACATGTTCATCTGTTTGTAGCCCCAGATCATGTATCTAGAAGCCATTTCATACTAGATCTCTAGATGATATGCAGAGTTTTCTGGAAGCTTTTACACCTACATTAGAGTGCTCTTGTCCAAATCTGGTAGATTCCATTATGACATTATTTGCAAAATTGGTTTATCCAACATTTGGTCAACTAGAAATGTGTTCCTGTGTGCTCCTTGGTTTTCCCTGATAGTTACAGATGAGGTTGGTGACCCTTCATCACTGTGGGGTTCCAGAGTACCTTTACAAGGACCACAGGAGGTAGCCACATGTGTCAAGTGTACACCTTGAAGTGTGGACTTGGCTTATTCAGATACCCAGCATAGTACTTTGGTACCTTGTAAGCATTTGTGGAGTGAACACAAAATCATCCTATTTGATGGTATGCTCTTTACTCAGTACCGCTGGACTCTCTGGGATCCCAAAGCCAAAGAGCTTTCCCTACTGCTGATAGGGAAACTTAATAGACAAACATCCCCACTGATGTGTGGCAAGCCCCAGGTGCTAAGTGCTGTCTTTGTCCTTAATCACTCAGCCCCAAGGTATTGGTGACCCCAAAAAAGAGCTCAATTTGCAATCCATTGCTTTGGGCATGTAGCTGTCACATATACTACCTGTCCTGAAGCTTAGATTCAGGCTGAGGCTGACAGTAAAGGAGAGAACAAGGTCACTTCAGTGGGCATAAGCCATCAGGGACAAAGTCAGGGCTGGGCTTGCAGGGTCATACAAGGAAGCTTGAGATGAGATCATCAGAGGGAATTCCCCAGCCAGGCCACACATGAGACAAAGGCACACGAGGAAAGGGTGTGCGTATAAGATCTAATTTATTCCATCCTTTGAATGTGCTGGATAAATCAAGGGTCAAATCATGTCCTGTGCAACCTAGCAGTTGCAATAAAAGCTTAATATAAGTGTGAGTTTCATGTCCTAACACCACCTTTATAAAGGGAATCTACCGTATTCATCCCCCTTGTAAGCCTTTAAAAAACTGTTTTTCTCTTGAGTTCCTATGTTCAGGCCAAATGTGTTCCTTTTCCAAAAGAACCTTCCTCCTATGGAGAAATCTAAAGCAATGGGGTCATTTCATCATTTACAAAACATGTCCCAGATTTAATTACCCAAGCAAGGGGTTTGTCTCAGTGTGTTTCACCAACACAGCCGTGCCTCATGTAAATACACAGATGTATCCTGACACACTTGATAGGACTGTGGGAAGAGAAGAAAAACTCTTGATCCACAGCCTGGAGCATAAGAACTTCATGTATTCTTGAGGTGGTCCCTCTATCTCCCACCTGCAGTGTTTCATTAGCTAGGCCTTGGTTTAGGTCTTTAAATGTTCGATGAGACTTGCTGGCTTAATAGGAATCTTCCTCAGCTCAGGATTCTGTTGACTAGAGGAGCTTGGTTTCTTAAATGTATTTTGAAATTATACGCTCTCCTCATTTATTTTTAAGTATAAGTTCAAGAATTTAAATCTAGAGCTAGGCAAAGTGGCGCATGCCTATAATCCCAGCACCCAGGAAGCTGAAGCAGGAGGATCACTGTGAGTTCAAAGCCAGCCTGGGCTACATTGTTTGTTCAAGACAGCCTTAACTACACAGTGAACCCTCTCTGAATAAAGAAGAATTTAGGTCTGTATATAACATATACCATATAGTACATAATATTGAGCCATGAAAATATGCCTTAACAATGGAACATTTGAAGTAACTTAAAAATTTGACATTAAAGTCACTCTCACACTTTGTCACTATGCTGTTAATTAATCATTAATTCAGACAGTTAATCAAACTTGCAAATTAAAGCTTCTGTTAAGACAGGTGATCTTGGGCCAGGAATATAGCTCAGCTGCACAGTGTCTGCCTGGCAAACACAAGGTCATGAGTTTGATTCCCAGTACAAAAAAAAAGATTAATGATCTTTTAGCATCTTTAAAACCAGACCTTTAAAAGTATATACAGTATACTGGTGTATACTTTATTGCATAAAAGCTATTTCCAAATCAGATGTGAATATAAAACCGAATCTACAAATGGTTCTTCATATCTCCTTTAATGTGCCAACTCCTTAAAAATTGTGGCTGAAAAAATCTTAACCAGTGTGTAGTAAAAATTCAAGTTGAATAAAATGTTGGGAGGTAAGAATAAATCCTGATGTATATTATGTTAACTCTGTATCGTTTGGTAAGGAGAAAGATGAACCATATCCTTTTATGTCCTCGCAGGAAAATAGATGTACCTTGAGCAACATTCGGCATTGAATTTACTAGTTATATTTTGACATTTTTCTTTATTGATTTTATAAAATTTGATGACACTAATATGTATAATGTTTCAAAATTGATATTTAAGTTCCTTTAATAAGACATAACAAAATATGCTTATAACTATGAAAAGTAATTACCATTATTTTGATTTGGATCACAAAAACTTCCATTTTCAAATGTTTCACTTTACAAAATGATGCTGAAAACTGTCATGCAGCCTGTTTTTCCCTGAACACTAGTGGCCTCCTGGTGTTGACAGGTATTCCTTGGAAAAACAGTTCCTGATCAGATACTGTAGGTATGAGACTTGCATGATACTCTAGCGCCCTCTTGCTGGCTCCATGTACATTAACACACTAAAAGACAGCTCATTTTTAAAAAACAAGAACAAACAAAACACCAGCCTAACTTATTTGTTTAACCCAGCATTTCTCAAACTTAAAAACAAAAAGCAAAAAGCAGCTCACATCTGTTGGGAAATTAATGATACACAGCTTCTGGGGTTTTAATCACCTTATTCTTATTCATGACACTCGTCAGACATGCCAAAGAGAAAGTGACTGGTTTCCTTGGTAGCATCTCACAGGGTGCCAGTACTTTGAAATAGAGCTGGAGTTCTCACTCAGTCCCTAGCTTTGTCATTCAAGAATACCAGTTTTGAACCTCTCCTGATTTACCTAGCACTCTCCAACCAAGGTTACACGAGGCTTGCCACAGTGCCACAAGAGAGTGGGCTCCAATGACAGTCTGGTGGTTTAGAAGTGTGGGCACACAGTGTTCCAGCTGTCCCAGGCATCTTTATCCCAGTATCACTGTACCCTGGAAACCTAGAGGTTATTAGCAGTTTTATTGGTGAGTGTCAAATTAGTCCAAAAGCGAATTGGCTCTTGAGCGCTGCCTGATGTACACACTCTGTTCTACAATAGACACTGGGATGGATTTTAGTACCTTTTATCCAGAATGCTTGGGAGCACAGGTATTTCAGACTTGAGCTTTGTTCCCAGATTTTTGGAATATTTATATGTACATAAATATGTTGGATGGGACCCAAGTCTGAGTATGAGTGTTTTTGTCTACATCTTGTACACATAGCCTGAAGGAAATTTTATATAGTGGTCTTAGCATTTTCACTTCCACCTGTCGTATGAGGTCAGGTGTTGAATTTTCCATGGTGACATCATGTCAGTGCTCAAAAAGCTTTTGATTTTGGAGCAATTCAGATTGCAGATTTGGGGACTAGGAGTGCTCAGCCTGTTGAGAGCATCCTCTCAGGGCCAGAATTGGCTAAACAGTGACAGTGCTATTGTCCATATCCCCGGGCATACACTTTGGGTGTCTGTGCACCGTTGTGGCTGGGCTGCAGCACCCATGCCTACAGTGTTTCCTAGTTCCTGTCCCAAGACTATTCTCTGGTCATTGTCATTAAACTTGGGGAATTCCCAAACTGTCTCATAGGCTGGGTCATTTTAACAGTTAGCCAAGCACCCTAAATCTGATGTTTTTATTTCTGTTAGTTTCATGCTCAAAGGGTAACCTTCTTCTGACCTTTCTAAACTCTGGAGGCATCTTACAATAGCTGTGTATATGGTGATTACAGTATCTGTCATGTCAAGCCATGTCCATATTAATGCTTCCTAACTGTGAAACGTGAATATGTTGTAACCCTTTGGTAGAACATGCAGCATGATGTCCTGTGATGCTAAGCTTTGAAATTTGTCTTTCGGGGTGGGGGGTTACGTTTTGCACGCTTCTGTAGCTTTATAGAAAAAACACAGAACATCAAAAGTCCTCTCAGGTATACAAATGGAATGAAAGATTTACTCCTGTTTGGTTTTTGCCAGGCTCTAAGGGATGGAAATAAGCTGGCCCAGATGGAAGAAGCATCACTTGTTCCAGGAGAATCAATTAAGGCCATTGGTAAGTTCAACATGTACACTTTTGCTCATAGAGATTTGTAAAATGAAATGGTACTTTATTTATGAACGTATATATGCTGGAAATCAGCCAGACCAATTTAATTAGGGGACAGAGAGACTAGGCTTGTGGTGTCCTGACCTTGAGAGATGGAATGCTGGAGAGGTTTTGTTAAGCTGCAGTTGAGTATTAGATTAGTTACAGCTGAGTATTTCCAGCAGCGCGGAGGCCCAGACTTTTTTTTAGGAGCTGAGAGCTGACTAGGCACTCAGTGTAATGTCCGTTCGCTGCTTTGTTGGAATCCTTCACTAGGAGGAAAATGTATCGGCAGAACAACTATCATTTTAATGTTTTGAGAACGTGGCAAAGAAATTTTGGTGCAATCAGCGGACACGTGTTGCCATCCTGCATTGTAAAGGTGGTGGCATGAGGGTTCCCGTGTCCCTTCATGGTGGACAGACAGGCACTTCAGGAGCTGATGCATGGTGCTTTGGTTGGATAGGAGGAGCAGTGCAGTACCATCTTGTCAGCTGCAATAGAGTCCTGGGCTCTCCTAGCAGTGCCTCCAAGTAACTGCTCCTGCTGCATGGCCCACTCTGTGCCTCTAGACCTGTCCGTTCTTGGTTATGCATTCAGGGCTCTGAAACTTCCCTTGGCTTTGGGCCTGCTTCTCTGCTGACACTCTTCTGCTGTCTCTGGCTGGTGCTTCTTTGGCTGTTCCAGCCCAGCCCCATGCTATTTAAAATGCAGAGCAAAATACGCCCGACAGTAAACTGCTTTATTTCTATCTTTATCAGTGGCCATAGTCCATAAAGATTACAGCTTCTGGAAGTGGCTGGTCACCCTGTATGTGAGACTGCTATTTGGAATTAGCAGGAAGTGCTCTAAAAGCTTGGACTGTAACCTCTAGGTTGTCTCGGTAAGAAGAGAAGGCTTTAGGGGAGCCAGCGTGGGCCTGGTGCCCCTCTCCTGTTTGCTTCTCCCTCCACTCTGGAAATGGGGCCCTGTTTCTGTCCCAGTCAGCAGAGCTGTCTTCAGTTGTGTGTTAAGGACATCTGCACATCTTTAAGCCATCTGAGTATGTCTTTAATTCCTCCAGTGGCTTGCAAAGGGTAAGTAAATTAACCCCTGCTTTTAAATAAAGCATGTTCCTGGAGGCGGAGTATTAAAGTAGGTCACTGTAAAGTGACGTGCTCCCCTGTGGAGTATCATTGCAGTTCATCACTGTCAGAATCGGAAGCTCTGACATGGGGTCCCCAGGAAGCCATTGTCGTGGCTAAGGTAGCGAACATATCTGTCACCCCTGAGCAGTTTCCTGCGTGCCTGGCTGATCGCTCCATCCTGTGTATTCCCAGTGTCCTCCAGCACTGCAGATGGCAGTGTGTTACTCAGCTTTTCACTGATGTGACCAGATACCTGAAAGCGACTCCTTAAAGGAGGAAGCTTCATTGCGGTTCACGGTTTCAGTGGTTTCAGTCTGTGGTGAGCTGGCTCCATTGCTTTCAGGCCCGTGGCAAGGCAGAAACTCCACGGTGGGAGGGTCGGCAAAAGAAAGGTGCTGAGCTCACGCCAGCCAGGAAGCAGAGAGAGCAGGAAAGACTGAGTGTGCTGTCAGAGGAGGGGTGGGGATCAGCCGTAGTCCCCGGGTGGGTCACTCCCTTCGGCTGGCCCCACTTGTTTCTATTGCCACCCAGTAATGGCAGCAGATTATACCACAAAGCCCCATGATCCAGTCACTGCCCACAAGCCCATCAGCAGCCAGCAGAGCCTTCAACACACTGAGCCTTTTGGAGGTTGTACTTTTCAAACCACAACAGCTAGCTTATATTTTCTAGTGTCCTATAGAAATAAAATAAGAGAGTACATTCTTTTTTGTCTTCTTCCCATCAAATAATTATTTTGTTTTGTCCATATTGTGGCATGGGTTACCATTCATTTTTATTACTGAAGGATATTTCAGTGTGTGGATACAGGTTGTCTGTTCATCTGGTTTTGGGTATTTGAGTTGATTCTGCTGTTTGGCTCCTTTAACTAAAGCTGCTGCGAGCATTTAAGTACAAGTGTTTGTGTGGGCGCGTTATTTCCTCTCTTTCGGGTGCATGCCTGAGGGGTGAGAGACATATGGTAGGTGTACACTTACCTGTTTTTGTAGCACTGGAGATTGAACCCAGGACCTTTGCACTGAGCTACATCCCCACCCTTTGTTTTTTTTTTTTTTTTTTTTACTTTAAGACAGGATCTCACTAAGTTGCTAAGTAGCTCAGGCTGGACTTGAACTTGCAGTCCTCCTGCCTTGAGCTTCCTGGAGTGCCCGGATTCCAGGCATGCGTTGCTGTGCCGAGCAACATTTCACTTTTCAAGGAAGTGCTAAATCATTTTCCAAAGTGGTCATGCTGTTATACATTCCAGCAGCAGTGGGTGAGCGTTCCAGTTCTTCTTTTCCTGTCTTAATAATGTCTCTATTTCCTTTTCTTTTTTCCTCTTTGAACTTCCTATGTAATGTTAAAGTTAAGAGTGAACATTCTAATCTTGTTCCTGATTTTTGGACAGCTTTCAGATTTTCACCATTAAGTATGTTACCTGTTTTTGGTAAATGTCCTTTATTATGTTAAGAAAGTTCCCTTCTGTTTCTAGTTTGCAAAGCATTTTCTTAAGAAATTCGAAATGGATACTAGATTTTGTCAAATGTATTTTCTTTCTCAATTAATATAAGATGTGGTTTTTCTTAATTTGCTTCTAGTATCTTGTGGAATATATGAGGTCCTTTTTGATCCTTTCATTGCCAGGATAAACTCTACTTGCTTATTATAAATTATCCTTTTTATGTGTTGCTAGATTTGTTTCATTAAAGTTTTGTTTTGAAGATTTGCATCCATATTTATGACACCTCTGGTCTGTCATTTTCTTGAGGTGGCTTCCTTGGGTTTTGATATTAGAGCAGGGCTGCTTCATAGAAGGAACTGGAATTCTGTCTTCCTCAGTTGTCTGGGAGAGTGTTTCTTCCATAAGTGTTTGGCAGAAGCCAGGCCACCTGGACCTTGAGTTGGCTTAGTGTGAAGTTTTTAGCTAGGGTGTCTTTAGTAGCTATAGGATTGCTTATCTTGTCTGCTTCTTCTCAAGCAAATTTCACTAGTCTGTCTTGCTAGGAATTTGCCTGTTTAGTTTCCGTTGTCAAATTATTGTCCAAAAGGCATCTATTGGGGCCCCTTATTTTTCATTTAATATCTGTAGAACTTACAGGGGCATCATTAGGCTCATTTCCCACCACCATGCCGGCTGCAGGTTTATCAGTTTTACTCATCTTCTCAAAGAATCAGCTTTCAGTTCTGTTGCTTTGTTTTCTATTTCATTATTTTCGCTCTGATCTTTTTACTGTTTCACATCATTTGGTTATTTGAGGTTTAATTCTTTTTCTGCTTTCCTGAGATGGAAGCTGTGGTCATCGATTTGAGACCTTTGTTCTTTTTCCAGTCTAGACATTTAGATGTTCCTTGACATGCTATTTTAGCAGTATCTCGCCAAGTATGAAGTATTTTCATTTTCATATAGCTCCAAATACCTTTGAATTCTCCTTTTGATTTCTTCTGTGAGTTTTGGGGTATTTAGGAGTATGTCAATTGCCACATAGTTGTGAGTTTTTAAAACTTGCTTCTGTTATTGATTCTAATTTCATTTGTGTTCGGAAATCATACTCTTTTAATTGATGTATTATGTACATGTACCAATTTCCTACAGTGAAGGTAAACATTATCTATGGCAAACATATACTAATAAAATTTTTTAAAAAGCGCAGCCCACTTGGGACCCCTTCTGTGTCTCTCCCAGACAGAAGCTGTCTTTCTTTCAATAAATATATTCTTCTCTTTAAAAATTTTTAAAAAGAAATCATATTTTTTTATGACCTGAATATTTTTGTATTTTCAAGACTGGCCCAGAATATAGTCTGTCTGGATAAATGGTCTGGGTACATAAAAAGAATGTGTGTTCTGCTGTTATTGATGGGAATGATCTATGGTTGTCAGTTTGTTTGTTTTATGACAGTGTTCAAGTCTTCTGTTGTCTTATTTTCTGTCTACTTCTATCAGTTACTGAGAGAGGAGTTTCAGAATCTCTGACTGTAATTGTGGATCTGTCTGTTTCTCATTGTAGTTCTCTTTATCATAGTGTCTTGAAGTTCTGTGCTGGGTACATAAATGTTTAGAATGATTGTGTTATTCTGACCCATATTCCTGGCGGTATTCTTTGCTCATTTGCTCAGAAACCTACTTTTTTCTGATATTTTTACAGAATATATATATATATATATATTTTTTTTTTTTTTTTTTTTTTTTTTTTTTTGAGATAACGTCTTGCCGTGTAGTTCAAAGTGGCCATGAACTCACTACGTAGCCAACGCTGGCCACAAACTCACAGCAAGTTGTCCTTACTTATAGTATGTTATCTTTTAAGGATAAGATCTAATACCGTGTAGTGTCCCACAGAAATACATTCTGATCCTCTCCCTGCTGGTCTCTCCAGCCTATGTCATTAATCCTCACTTCCCCTTTTGATGCATCCATACTAAGCTCTAACAACTTGCTGTCTCTCCTCCCTCCTTCCCTCTCTTCTCTCTCACTCCCTCTACGTGCTCTCCTGCTGGGTTAAGTTGATCCTCTCCTAAACTTTATCACTTTGTTTCCACATCACTTTATAGCATTTATCAGGCTATGGTATAACGGTGACTTCCAGCCTGCTTATAGACAAGAACTAAATCTGTTTATGCCCCGAACCTTGCAATTGAAAACACTCAGCTTGTAACGAGTATGATAGAAATGTTTTGAGAATTTGGCCAAATGACAAACTTTTGGACTCAGCTGTAGCTATGTAGGTTTCTGTCATTCCAATGGAATGGCTCTTTGGGAAAGTCATGAAAATGTGGGAGGAGTTCTTTTTTTTCTTTTGCAGTACTGGGGATTGAATCCAGGGCTTTCACATTGAGCTACATCCCCAGCCCTTTGTATTTTTATTTTTTACTTTGAGACAAGGTGCTACTAAGTTGCTGAGTTGTTCAGACTGGGCTGGATCTTGTGATCTTTGTGCCTCAGCCTCCCAAAGTGTGGGATTACAGGTGTGCACCACCATATCTGGCTAGATATGAGCTTTTTAATAGGTACAGGAATTTAAAATGTTGTGTGATTTATTGATAACAAAATGAAAGTTAAAATGAGTCAGGAAGCTGATCAGTAATTTGAAATGCATATCTCTCTGTCTCTCTGTTTCTTGTTTTTCCCTGATTCTGGAGATAGAACCTAGACCTCAAGTGTATGAGGCAGGTACTCTACCACGAAGCCAAGCTCCCAGCACTAAAATATGACTTTTCTTCTTTATTAATGTGGTTGTAACTTTTACTATCTCTAAAGCAGTTTCCCTTGGAGGTGCACTAAAGGACAGTGCTTAGTTTCATTAGTTTTAAATAGCAGTAATTTATGAAATGGTAGTTTAGTGTTTTTAGAGTTATTTAATGTTTTGAATGTGATTAACTTACCATCCAGGAAAAATGTTAACTGCTTGGAAAAAAAGGACAAAATGTAACTTATTATGAGGCCTTTATTTGATACCTTAGTAGGTAGCCAGAGTGTTAAGTGATCCAACTTTATTGGAAGACTCATCTGTACCTAAAAGTCCTATTTAATAAAATTCCTACAAAACTGGATTCACACTCACACATACATTTGGAAGTCCATGCTAAGATTTATTGAATCACAGTTCTACAGCAGTGGTTGCTACTTTGGGTTTTTTCTTTCAGTAAAAGATGTCATGTATATCTGCCCATTTATGGGAGCAGTGAGCGGAACCCTAACAGTGACGGACTTTAAGATGTACTTCAAAAACGTAGAGCGGGTGAGTTTTTTAGTGTTTTTAATTTTAAAATGATTTGGAACCAGTAAAAGAAGAAAGTAAACAGTCTCCTGAAATCCAAGGGTGAGTTTTAATATGTCACATGTGCAAATAGATTTTATTCCGCCGAAAGGCTGATTCATTACACTTGGAGGGGAGAGGCAGTCTCAACATAACTGTACAAGATATGCTATAAATCAGACTGCAGCTTCTTAGCTGGGACAAAGAAGAAATGCCGAAGTAAACCAACATGGTTCCTAATCATCAAAGACTTAAAAGAAGGAGACTTTGTTGACTCACCTGGACTGGCATTAATCTGAATTTTTAAACCTAGGACCCACACTTTGTCCTGGATGTGCCCCTTGGAGTGATCAGCAGAGTTGAGAAGATTGGAGCACAGAGCCACGGAGACAATTCTTGTGGTATAGAGATCGTGTGCAAGGTAGACACCAAATGCAAGTAAAACTGAAAGGGGGTGATCAGCTTAGAATGTTCTCTGACTCACCCTTCCTGTTCTTTGGTAGTTACAATAACTTTACTCTTCGAGACCCAGCAGCTTCTTTAAATGTCATATCAACAAACTGAACCCATCATAGACTCCATTGAGGTAGTTTTCTGTTGCGTATTTGTAATAAACATGGCTCATATGGGCCAGGGGTTTAGCTCAGCTATACAAGCGCCTGCCAGGCAAGTGCCAGGTCATGAGTTCGATCTGAAGTACCAAAAAAAACAAAAACAAACAAAACATGGCTCCTAACTACTGCTCGTAAGTGCCAACATTGTTTATTACATCTCAGGGAAATCAAATAGAAAGCAGAGATCAGGACTGTTTTCTAGTTTGTTGTTTCAAGACTACAGAACAGTGGCTGACCAATGGCTTCCTAAAGAGACAGCAAGGTTCTTTAAATCCTGTCATTAAAGTTTCTTGGTTATGTCATAGTTTTCACTTTGAGCTATGCTTACTTTTTATTTCGTATCCTTGCTCCAGTGAGTTCAGTAGAAATGTGTGTGGTAACTTTCATAAAAAGTAGTAACTTAAGAAGCACCCTGAACAAATGTTTTATTTTAAAGGACTTTGCCCCATGGAAAACAATTTGCTTACCACTTACCTGGAGTACCAGGAAGCAGACCTGCCAATGTAATCGTCAGGGCTCCTCCGGAGGCCGGGCTTCAGAGGCCCGCTCATCTAATTCCCATGGGCAGATCCCTGAGGCCAGCTCTCATCTTTCAGTCCCGCACTGCACCGAATCCACTTTTCCAAAGTCTTCCAGGTCTGAGCCTGCTGTCCCACTGGGCTCACTCTGGGTACCTCATGCAGTTGTTCCTCTCAGACAAGGTCGCACATCCAGCACGTGGCCAGCAGCTATACAACATCAAGCAGAGGGCAACTTGATTGCTTCTGCGATTTTGAAAGCTGTCCTTCCCCTTCTCATAATTCTCAGGTAGCTTCCCATTCTTCTTAGGCCTACGGCAAAGGTCCTTGTCAAGGCCTCACGTGGCTGAGCCTGGCTCACTTTCCTCTGCAGCCTCCCCTGAGCCAGCCTCACATCACCCTTGCCTCCCAGTCCTGCTCTGGTTCAGGATTCCTATCTCCTCACACCCACCATCCCATCCATGCTAAGCACGCACTCTGACCAAATAGAGGACCACCGCACACGTTCCCCTTGGCTTGGAATGCTTTTCTTCCCAGCAATCCTGAGCAATAAATCCCTACTAAGGAGGGTATGTGGAGCCAGGATAGCTGGGATGGAGGGCACAGCAGGAGGTTATGCTGCTCTCGAAGGTGTCCTGGGATTGTTTTACCTTAGGGTTTTCATGGCGAGGGTGGGCATTTGCTGACATAATTTCCCACATGATTTCTAGCCTGGAATTACTAAGGCTAGGCTCCTGGTCCCCTCAGCTCATCCCTAAGAGCCTTGTAAGTGCAGGCTGTATTTTTTAACAGGTGGTATACAATTTAAAGGTACAAAAGCCATAGACAGTAAAAAGTAGTGCCAGCCCCGCTGTTGTACTCCCTGCAGGCAGCACACTTCCTAATGTCTGATGTGTGCCCTCACAGACCCCTTCTGCATACAAACATGTATGTCCGGTCTTTCTTTGAAATTGTAAGTGGTAGTATATTATATGTGCTCCTCCATTCTGTTCTTTTTGCCCTTGACAATGTATCTTGGAACTTCTTTGTATCAATATTATAGAGCAGATTCTGATTTGAACCACTGTAGTGTTCTGTTAGCTGTGTGATAGCCCCTACTGATGGACATTTGAGTTAGTCCTGTTCACTTGCTGTGGTAAATACTATCACAACAGCAGCCTCTTCACTTCCTAAAATTACTGCTGCTTTAATTTCTTTGTGGTCATATTTATTTTACAGTTTCATATAATGTTAAAGAGGGAGATTTTGTGTTTAGCTTATAGGGGCCACATGCATAAAAAGGTTGGCGGCAACACTCAGAACACTGACTCAGGAAGAAATCACCATCAGAGCTGTGCTGAGTGGGATCTCCCCCTGCTTGTGCTTCGGCCTTTCCCATCAGCTTGCATTCACGAGGCACCGTAGGAAACAGCCGTCCTGGGAAACACATTATCTTGCTCTAAGGATGTCACCCAGGGTCCCAGTCCCTGTGTGATACGGAGTCCTTTCTGGAGGCGAAGTCTTTGCTGTACTCTGTTTATAGGTGGTGTGGACTTTAGAGTTGGCTCTTTTGGCAGCTTAAAGTACACAACTAATTTCATGGCGCGCCTTCACTGAGTGCATGCACAGGGCTTGATGGCAGGGCTTTTGTGTACAAATGTTATTCTTTGATCTCCCTTAGAATTTTCCCCCCATACCTGTCCCCTTTATTCCAGTTTTCTTGAATTTTTAAAAGCTCATTGAAGATAACTTTGTTAATAGGAAAAGGAGCATGAAATGAGAAATGAATAAATATATTTATTTATGCTATTGTATGTGGCTTGTAGGTGCTAAATGCATGTTGAATAACTGAGTTTCACTAATCATTTATCAGGATATGAGGAATCTGCGACTTGCTTATAAACAAGAGGAACAGCGCAAACTTGGGATATTTGAAAACCTCAGTAAACATGCATTTCCTCTCTCTAATGGCCAGGTGAGTACACTGAAGTAAAGGTTTTCTTAGTGCATTTAGTGCATTTCTGAAATTTCATGGTTAGCCGTATTTTTCCAGAGGTTTTCTTTATCTTTTTCTGTTGTAACTAGTATTAGACTATTTGAATTTTGTCAATTTTCTATGATTAAGAAAAGCTACCGAGTTTTTACTTTAAAATTTGCAGATTAAGAATCTTAATGCATTCAGCTCATATCAGAATGAGCAGATTTAATATTGGGTATATGGAATAAGATAAGTACTGACTTGTGTTTTGTGGTTTTTGTATCCAGGCACTATTTGCATTCAGCTATAAAGAAAAATTTCCAGTTAATGGCTGGAAAGTGTATGATCCAGTAGCTGAATATAAGAGACAGGTAAAGTACGTTGCTTATCAAACTGAAAATAATAGGTCAACATCTTTTTCTCTTCTAAAAAGTTAGAGAAGAACATTTCTACAAGTTGCACATGAGCATAACTTCTCCATCTTCTGGGCGCCCTCTTCTCCTGTGCCAACCTCTTGACTTTTGTCATGGTTGTTCATCGTCTTCCAGAGGGTGAGGAGGGCTAGAGGTTTCAGACAGAGTCTTCCAGATGGCCTCCAGAAGGTGATCTGGTGGTAGTGACAAGGAAGGCCCAAGCCCCTGACTTAGGTTCAGTTTAGAACCTGTGTTGGGACTATCTTGGTAGGACATTGTGCTCTTTGGCTGGGAATTCCTGGAGCGTTGTGAACTTTTGCATGTCTTCCAGTACATTCTTATTGTCATGGCATCAGCTTTTAAGTTACAACTAAAATTAGAAAATAGGTGTGATTCATGCTTAATGCTTCATCAAGGTGGAAAAGTGTGTTTTCCCCTCTTCTTTTTTCTCTGTCATTCTGCAGGGCTTGCCAAATGAAAGTTGGAAAATATCCAAAATAAATAGTAACTATGAGCTCTGCGCCACTTACCCTGCTGTCATTGTTGTGCCAACCAGTGTAAAAGATGATGACCTATCAAAAGTGGCAGCCTTTCGGGCAAAAGGCAGAGTCCCTGTAAGTATACACAGTGGCATTTAGATAGCAGCATGTACTTCATTAGATCTGATATGGAGAGATGCAGACAGAAAGTCCAGCGAAAGTAAAAAGATAAGCTTGGAAAGCTGAAGAGAGCCCGTGGCACATATCTGTAATCCCAGCACTCAGGAGGCTGAGGCAGACAGATCGCTGCAAATTTGAGGCCAGCTGGAACTACACAGTGAACTCAAGGCCAGCATGGACTGCATAGTGAAACTTTGTCTCAGAAAAACAAGAAAGAAAGAAACAAACCAAAAAAACACAGAAAAGGTTGAATTTCCCTTTGATTCTCAAGAAGTATGTAAACATTCAGTTTTGCTCTGTCTCCCCCTTATATGATTTCCTGTTTTTAAGTTATGCTCTCGAAACATTGTAGAGAATAAAAAAGGAGTAGCAAGAGCAGTTTACATGAATGCCCACAGCAGACCATCTAAGAGGAATACACTAAGCTCATCCTGACTGCAGTGCTGGAGCCACAGGAAGGAGCGGGGAGGGTAGCTTTGCCCACCGTTTGCATGTGGTGTGACCCTGGGTCACTGGGTCCCTGGAGGAAGACGCGAGGTTTGGTGACAGAGTTTTAGGTTTGGCCAGAGACTGTATATTTGTCCTCACTCTGCCACATGTGTTATCATGGAAATAGAGATTATTTTTAATTAGGAGACCACATCAAAGTAGTCAATCAAATAGAAATGGGGCTATATTTTAGTGATAGTTTGACTGAGGTTTTATTTTGCCTAGAGTGACAGAATTTCAGGACTCATGTGGTCAGACATTTCAACCTGCCCAAAGCATTGAGTCCCTTAGCTGCTGCAGTGCCGCGGTTGCTCTCTCCACTCTCAGCTTTGAGGAGAGTCTTCAGGAGAAACTGCTTTTCCTACCAAGTCATTCGAGCATGTGCTGCTTTTGGGACTGTGCTAATGCCTGTTGCTTCTAAACACTAGGTATTATCATGGATTCATCCAGAAAGTCAGGCAACGATTACCCGCTGCAGCCAGCCGCTGGTGGGCCCCAGTGATAAACGCTGCAAAGAGGATGAGAAATACTTGCAGACAATAATGGATGCTAATGCACAGTCCCACAAGCTTATTATTTTCGATGCCCGACAGAACAGTGTTGCTGACACCAACAAGGTACACTCTTGATAGCACTGCAGAAACAGGCTATCTCTTCTCCACTTCCTGTAAGTTGTCTTGCATTTGCAACAGCTCACTGGGCTCCTCCCCACCTGTGGTCAGAGGCTTTTGGAGTAGCTGTGGCTAGCCCTCCCTGGTTTGTACTCCATGGACCCTTTTCAGCTTTTCCATAATCCTGCCTGTTGAGTAGATTAAGCAAAGACCCAGAGAATTATCTAAAAGATTAAGTATTTTAGTGCGTGATTGTGAGACCCTGGGAAATACTACTAATTTACAAACTATAGTAATATTTGATTAGTTCATATCTGGCATGAAGCGCTTTTAGAATGGACTCAGCAGTACACACTGCAGATATGCACAGTTTGTCTAAGTGACACAAAGCAGCGGCAGTGCACATCAGGAGACAGTGTGTCCCAATGTGATCACTTCTGCTGGCAGCGCCCATGCGATCCCACTAACTGAAGGTACCAAGTGAAAGCTTTGACTCCAGACCTGAAGTTTTGCTTTGAGGCATTTCTGTGTACTGCAGATGAATTTGTGATAGTGTACTACTGCATGTAGGCATTTGGCAGTCCGAGGACCTTGCCCACTCAAGTAATTTCAGGACTAGATACATGACACAACCCTTGCCTTCTCACGCCTGTGTCTGCAGTAACCCTCACGTAGCACACATCCGCTAGGGCAGGGTGCTGGGAACGCCAGTGCCAGAAGGGCTGAGAGATGTGAGCTCCGTGTGCCAGGGGAGTTGTACAAAGCAGTTAGCACTCAGCTGGCATGGCACGGCCAGTGGGCAGAAACGGGCGGAGCGTTGCCAGTAGCATGAGCACCTGTCTGACAGCTGGGCAGCTGGACATTTTCCAGAAGGAAGGACGACTGAGGGCCTGGTCACTGCTCCGTCACCTACCCTTCTGCAGTGCGTGCGATCTGACTTCAGCTCTCCAGTCGGCTTGCTGCTTTTCTTCCCTCAGTGATTATTCCATCCCTCACCACAGTCTCCAGAAAGCCAGCCTCCTGCCTCCCCTTGGCTGGGTCCTCTTCACTGCTCTACACAATCTCTCCGGCCTCTCTTCTGGCGTCCACTGCCAGGACTTTCAGTATGCCCGTGTGCTGAGTGTGACTTGAGTTTAACACCGCAGTTTCTATCCTTCCCACTGTACGCTTGACGTCTCCTTGGCTAACTCTGTGGTCACAAGATCACAGAGAACTCCACCAATCTAAGAGTCAGTGTGGTGGAGCCGTGAGAACTTTGGCTTTGGACTCAGTTACACCTGGATTTTTCTCCAGGGGCTGCCACTTGGTGCCCTGTAGAACTCTGGGCAAGTTGCTTAACCTCTCTCTGAGCCTCAGTTTCCCACTTCTGCAAAATGGGAGGTAGCATCAGTGTTTTGTGTTAAGGCTTCTATGAGGATTAAAGTGAAGAGAGAATATTGCACATAAAACCTCGGCCTGGTGGCGGGTGTGTCTCCAGCACTCAGTACTTGACAATGATGTGCCTGTGGTCCCCGTTAGTCAAAGGGGCTGACCGGGTATCTGGCCCAGCAGGTGGTGGTGTTGGTTAGTGCGGTGGCATGGCCTGGCAGAGGAACAGACAGGCAGCGGGTGGGGAGGGCTTGGTTTCCAGGCTCAGGTATAGACTGCACTGGCAGCAGCAGAGGTGCATTCATTCCCTTGCGGTGTTGGAGGCCGGCCGCCCAGAAGCTGCCAGGGCCGTGTGCCCTCAGAGGGCTCCAGGAGAGGCTGCTGCTTGCTTCTTCCTGCCTCTGGTGGCTACGCCAGCACTGCTGGGCTTATAACCACACTGCTGTAACCTCTTTGTCTGTCTTCCTGTAGCCTCCTCCTCTTCCTTCTCCTCTCCCTCCTTCTCATTTCTACATCTGTTCCTGTTTCTCTCTAAGGATACTACGGGGCATTTAGCGCCCACCTGAGGTAATCCAGGGTTGTCCCGTCATCTCATGAGCCTAAACTTGAGGTCAGTTCACAGTTACCAGGGTTTAATGACCCAGCCCGTGGGTTTATCCAGATCCGTGGGGCAGTTTCCTGGAGAAGGAACGGGGATTAACACAGACCGGGCAGGAGACCGAGAGACAGAGACAAGTCGAGGAAGTCCGATCAAGTCTCGTTTATTGAGGAAGTGGTCGCAGCCTTTATAGGGCAAGGGCGGGCCGGTGGGACAGGAAGAGGCTACGGGATGATGGGTCATCATCACGTCCGTGTACGTGACATGAGTAGGAGAGGATTATGGTTAATATAGGCGCATTATGTGCCCATATGAGGGAGAGGCGGAGAGACAGCAGCGGGGCAGTCGAGCTGCTCCCTACGTCTCCTCCCTTTCTATATTATTTAATCAGGAGTATGGCAGGCCCTGTGAGGACAGTGCCTGTCTTAGGTCAAGGACCTCATTACATGGACCCAACCGGGCCTTACCCGTCATGGGCTTGCAGGACAGCAGTTGGTCCTGTGCCTGTCTTAGGTGGCTGGTGGTGTAGCATGCATGTCCTAGTTGCCCATCTTTGGCTGCCTGTCCATTGCCCCAGGGCAGTCAGGCCACGTCGTCATATGGGCCACTCGTGGGAATTCCTTCCCGGTAGGTTTGTTGATCTGCTGTCTTCAGCTGGTGATAGTGTACCTGAATGGGCTTTGCCATAAATGCATCTATCTGGTTATAATCCTCGGGTCATAATCCTCTAAAAACTACAAGGACCCACAGAGAGAAGCAACAAGGCAGCTAGGGGCCCCAGGAGGGATGATAGGTAGGGGAAGAGTCCTCCCCAGAGCATGGAGAAGGGGTTAGAGGCCATTTGTTGTCTTCTCAATTTGAGCCGCTCTTCAATTTCTTGAAGTTTTCCACGAACAACGCCGGATTGGTTGACATAAAAGCAGCATTTTTTCCTGCAAGGCAAGACAAATTCCCCCCTGTTTTGCAGTTAGGAGGTCTAGCCCTCACCTGTTTTGGATGACCACCTCTGCCAATGAATCTAGTTGATCTTGGAGGGTCCGTATAGTGGCAGACAGGGCCTGGACATCTTCTGACAGCTGGTTGGAGATCTCAGTGTATTTATCTAGGGCAACACCCAGTCCAGCTGTACTAGTGGCCAGCGCCCCGGTGACACCCATTCCTACCAGAAGTGGAACAAGAGCCACCGCTCGTTTTTGGCGGCCAGAGATGTAGGTAAACTCTAGTATGGATACAGGCTCCTGTCCGGGAATTATATCAATATCGAGCAGAATGGCAGCTAGCATACATATTCCTGACCAGTTGGATGGGAGAAAAGGGTAAGCCATATTTGCCCCACATATAAACACTTGTCCTGAGGGAGGGCATAAAGGATCAGTGTGGTTGGTAATTTTAGAGCAGCCAGGGGATTTGAGGGGGCCCACATCAATGACGAATGAGTCATTTGCAAAAGAGCCCTGAATACATGGGACAGATAAATTGGCTATTATTATTGGTTGGACAGAAAATGGTTGGCCAGGCATACAGGTAGGGGGGTCTCCTAGGGAGATAGGTGTTGAATTGGAGGGGATAGCTATTGGCATGGGGGTACCTAGTGCTATGCATAGCCAGCAGTCTTTAGTCAGGTTAGGGTTGGTGACATTTAAGCGCCTTTTGAGTGGCTAAGAGAGTATCATAGGTCTGTAGATCTAGGTCCACTCCCCGAGGTTGGGGGAGTGCCAATGGGTGGTAATTGATCTTTGGGAATAAGCTATTTATTATCTCTTCTAGTCATTGGTGAACCTATTTTTGTCTGATTTTGTCTTGGGGGCCTCCCCCATCAGAATCATGGACAGGTGCCTCTCTGAACCAACATGTGGGTGCCCCTATATTGCCTTTACATCCTGCCTGAGAATATGGGGAGACACCCATGTCCTTGGGGATAGTGTTCCAATCTGAGGCATATTGGGGCGGAGTAATTTTGGTAAGGATGGCTGTGAAATAAATTTTGTTATTTGGTCCGACACATTTGGAAACTGCTGTGTAACACACAGAGTGTACAGCTTTTCCTCATAGGAAAAGCAGGAGCAGTTTGTTCTAACCTGTGGGTCTACAGGTTTAATCTGTGGCTTTGGGACACATTGCCAGACTCCCTTTTGACCAGAATGACCGACCCCCGGGACTAATACTAGGTAGGCCGTAAATCTGCCACAGTCAATCGTGCCAAAGGTTTGGGGTGTAGAACAGCGGGATTGATCTTTTGAGCATTTAGGCGGTAAATTTTCTCCTCGGCAATCGCAGGGGTTACTGTAGAATGTTTTAAGTAGGTCCTGTTTTGTGACAGGAGGTCCAGATCCACCATTGGTCAGGGTGGTCCAAGGAGGATCTTGAGAAGGCACCATGTAATCCATCGGTTTGGCATTTTCTGTAAGGAAGCACAAGAAGTTGCCTCAGGGTATGTGTTTACTCTTGGGCCTTTTTGGGGTTATTATTATTTGGCTCATTAATTTGCCTAACGAGGCTTTCAGGGAGCCATCTAGCCTCTTTGTCATGGCAGGAGTATATACACACTGAACCACGTCCCCATATAAGAACAGGGTCAGGGCCATGCCATGAGTTAGTCAGGGGGTCTCTCCATAGTACAGAAGCAAATTGCTTTTGTGTTTCAGTATGCCAAAAACACATGGCTGCTGACTGTCCAGAAGCATCCAGATTTAAAAAATTAAGGATGATTAAGGCATGAGATACAATATTTCTGGGGCATCCTTGGATAGGGTACCATGATCCCCCTTTGACTTTATCAGTAGTGAGTTTGAGAGAACAATGTGCACATTCAACAATGCCTTGGCCTTGTGGATTGTAAGGTATACCTGTTGTGTGGAGGATGTTGAGGCACTTGCAGAAGTGGGCAAAGAAAGTGCTAGTATATCAGGGCCATTGTCGGTCTTAAGTTGATGAGGGTTTCCAAGCACTGATAAAGCTGACAGCATGTGAGCAAAGATATGTTTGGTAGCCTCTCCGGTTTGGAGGGTGGAGAAGATAAAGCCAATGTATGTATCAACGC